GGCTGCTCTCCAGCCAGTCCCTGCCCTATCTCAGAACACACCCTGACACGATGCACCAGGCACTGCCTGACGAGCTGCATTTCTCCCACTGCTAAATATGTACCAGCTACTGTCCCTGGTTTAATTATTCTAAAGCAAGCTCCTTAGGACATCAACAAATACACTTGGATAGTATTCATTCTTACTTGCATGGGCTGGTCTGTCAGGCAAAACAGCCTGGAGGAGAAGTTTAGTACAAAAATAATATCCTAGCTATACCCTGTTAATAAGGAATCCACGTTTTTATTGAGGTAGAAGCTGGTGTGTGGTTTGGTAGCTAGGTTCAGACACAGAGGAGGAAGAGGCCTGGCACTGCCCTGCCCCTCATGGCATGCAGTTACTGAGCACAGCTGTACTGCACCGTGCAGCAACACAGCAATTCATTTCTAAGCAAAAGGGGAAGCTGCAAACTAACGTGTTGTCTGTCGTGGTCCATCCAAGCTGTCTGTCCTCTTGCTAATATTTTTAATATCAATGATAATTTTTAATATCAATGCACTGGACATCTGCCTTTGGAGAATGAGCACTTCAGCATTCCAGGATGTTGCCTTGAGGTAAAGTCATTTTTGTCTGTTAAAGGAGAAACCTCCTGCCACAGAGCTTAGTTAAAAATGAAAATAAATAAAAGGGTATCAACTGTGAGTGATGCTTAATTATCATGTGCTCAAAGTGTCCAGATTTTAAGTTTTTTTCTTTTTTTAATTGTCTAAGAAGACTAACAGAGGACACAAAGGTGCATGGAGGGACAGGCAACAACCAGCAGTGATGTGCCTTGCACTGAAAGCATTAATTAAGCTTTTGGGTATCTTGGTGATCCTGCCCCTCCTCTGAAGTGACCTTCAGGATTCAGCCAGAAACAAAAAGACCTTTTTCTTCAGAAAACAAGAACTGCTCCTGCTCCTGAGGGATTCTGGAGGAAGTGTGTCCTTGCCTCAAGCAGATGCTCTATAAAAGGAGATGCCCAGCCCTGAGGCCACCCCATTTCCCAGTGCCTGATCCCTGCAGCTGTATCCCAGGCAGAGGGGAAGCCAGGAGCCCCCTGGGGCACAGGATGTCTGTCTGACCAGCTCTCCTGGACTACAGCCCATTTCTTGCACAGGTCTGAGTGCCTGTGGAAAAGAGCAGGTCACTCACAGCCTCTCACAGCCAAAACTGGAGAAGCGGTGTCTCTCAGAGGTCTCAGGGGTGGCAGGGAGCTGGCCAAGCAGTGCTGGCCATACAGCTGTAGGACCTGCATGTCACAGAGCCCAGGCTTGTACTCATCACCTTCTCCTGCCACTGGAAGGGGTATTGTCTGCATGGCCTGAAAGCTTCACTCCCACTGGGGTAACAATGAGACAAAACATCAAACTGCAGTGAAAGGGTACACAACACCTCCCTCTGAAAAGGAGGAGTTGCTGTGCCACAGAGGAGTCCAGCAGCATGACTGCAGCAGCAGCAGGAGGGCAGGAGGGGCACAGACCAGCCTGTCACCCCCACACATATGATTTCATCCCACCCTTGCTGAACCTTGCTGAGGGGAAGAGCTGACTACAGAGATCTGCTGTGCAGCCCTGCTCCATGTACAGGGGTTTGACACACTACTTGCTGGCCATGTTTTCCTCAGCTAAAGAGGCTCCTGGAACTGATGCACAACCTGCTTTAAAGATAAACATCCTCTCAAGATTTGCTTTGCTCTGGAAAAACTCCTGCAAGTTCTACCTCTTGAAGCTGAGCTCATATACTAGGAAATCACATATAATAGAGTGTAACTCAAACCTTTCTACAAGGATACAGCAACCCCACCACTACACAGGATTCAACCAACCCCAGCAAATGGTAAATGAGCCAGTGTGGGGCACCAGTCTGTGTGTTACCTATGGCAATGCCAGTGAAAGCAACAAGCAGGGCACTTAATGAGAACATGCTTCCTTCATCCTCCCTCCCAAGTGCTGATCCCATTCATGTTTGCTTACATTTCATGTTTACTTGTCAAAAAAACCCATAAGAACTGAACCAGCATGCATTCCCATGTGGCCTGTTTTGTAATTGCTTCTCTTGCTCTGAGATCTTCTCAATTTAGTTGAGTAATCTGATACTGTGCTCTAATTAACAGCTCCTGGTTTTAACTCCATACAGTGAACTCTTCTGTCAATCTGTATGAGCAGCCATCACAATCACAGAGTGGAACTTGAATGATGCAAGCATAGAAATTGAACAGTTGTTATGGAGATAAACCACTCCATTTGTATGCTAAGTTGTTTAAAACTAAACAAAACAAACAAAAAAACCCCTAAAAACCTACAAAAATCAGCCTGCCTGCTTTGATACCTGACAGGAGGCTGTGGTGAGGTGGGTGCCAGTCTCTTCTCCCACGTTACAAGTGACAGGAGAAGAAGCAATGACCTCAAGTTGCACCAGGGGAGGTTTAGGTTGGATATTGGGAAAAATTTCTTCTACAAAAGGGTTGCAAAGCCCTGGAACAGGCTGCCCAGGGAAGTGGTGGAGTCACCAGCCCTGGAGGTAATAAAAAGCCCTGCAGATGTGGCACTTAGAGACATAGTTTAGTGGTGGGCTTGGAAGTGCTGGGTTAAGAGTCAGACTCAAAGATCTGGAAGGTCTCTTCCAATCAAAATGATTCTATGATAAAATCCTAAATAAAAATCAGGCTGCCTTTTGCATAGCCTGAAGCAGAAGCTGAGGAGACTCTGTGGAAAATGCCATTGTTAGGTCCTGCAGGAAGGTTGCTCTGCATGTTTTTGGGACAGTTATGTCACTGTGGGTCTCACCACCTCTACCACAGCGTGGCCACAGTGACAGCTGTCCCTGTGCAAGGGACAGAACTCTACAGTGCAGTACACTCTGGTCCTTCCCACAGAAGGCTACAGATCTTTCTGTACCAGAACATGAAGCATAAAATAAAACAGCCCTAACAGAAGATAGGAACAAACACAGCACAGGCAGATTTCCAAAATGTTGGTGTTGTAACTCAGCTTTAGCCTGCTAACACATGGAAGGCTCCTGAGGATTCCTATATTTCAGACTTGGAAACCAACAGGGTATCACCTATAATAATAGTACATGAGCACATACTCCTCCTGTCTGCTTTACAGATCTGAGGTGACCCCAAAACCTAGACTTTAAAGTTGATTTATAAAGAAAACTATGGTTTCAGCAGAAGTAATATTATAAACCCACTACCCGTTTTTAACATCTAATTAATTGATGATGCAATTATGGCAGACCCAAGTGAATTGGTGGATTTGAGAAGAGTTTCTGCTTGATGTTCTATCTATCTGGCAATTAGTGGTGAATTGCTGGTGAGGTTTTTAATCTGCTAGCACTCAGAGAAGGGCAGGCAGCCAGCAGCACACTCAGTGAAGTTTTCCATCTGCCTGAGCTTTGCAGTGTTATCAGAACAGTGTTATTTCAACTGGGAAAAAAAGTGGGAACAAAAAAAAAAACCCCAACACAACCCAACTTTGATTGTACAGATTTCAATGGCTCATTCATCTGGTAAAATCAGTTAAATTGGCTTACTTTTCTTATGCCCAAGTCTTAAAAACAGAACACAAACTGACATTCTTCCTTGACCTGGTTATCTTTTCAAGCCTTCAATTGATGCAGCTCCAAACAAGAGACATCCCTGAGTCTGTTTGCTGGGTACAAGATCAGGAATGAAGATTTCAGTCTGCTGTCTCTGAGGGACAATTCCACCACACTAGCAATAACAGAGTGTCTGGGAAGAGCTAATGAGCACCAAAGACAAAACCAAGGTTTCCATTTCCCTGGAATCACAAAGCTCAGCTCAATAAGGGTTCCTCTGTGTCCTGGGAGCCCAGGCTTCAGTGGACCTGGCTGATTTGCAATTCTGTCCAACCTTATCCTTTCACATAGCACCTCTCATCCCTAAGTCTCAAAGCTCTTTAGGAAGAAAATTGCTATCACAGTCTCCTTTTCACAGGTAAGGAAGGTGTTTGCCAAAGACCAGGCACTGACCTTATAGCACAGTGACAGCCAGTGGCCCAACTGCCTGGCTCCTCAGCAGCTCACAACAGTCCACCAGTTACAAACACCAGTTAGATAGGGCTGATGCACAGGGAGGAGACTGACAGACATCCACACAGGTTAGACCATGTGCCACAGATGTCTCTCTACTACAGAAGCACTACAGCACATCTCATTTCCTCCAGCCCTACCCCTTCTTGCTCTAAGAGTAAAGGCACATGGCTATATTATTAAAACAGGAGAGCACGTTAGACTGAAGAAAAGATGCATTCTAGAAGCATCATTTATTTATCTCTGAGTGGTTTAGCATCCCCTTGGCTGGTAAGTAGCAATAAAAATGTAACATCTATGCCATTCTTCCATGTCAAACGAGAAGATGTGTTGAATAAAAGTAAAGTGAGTCAGACTATAAAGAAAGGAGCAAAGATTGCTTCAGCTAAATGCCTAGTGCTTCAATAAAAACATGCTGCTCTTGCCTCCACTTCCCTACCAATGCTGACTTCTTTTTTTTTTCCCCAAGATGACTGAATACTGCCAGTTGGAACAGTCTTTGTTGGGAGTTTTACTGAAACAAGTGAAAATAAAACTGAATTTCAAAAGAAGTGTCGACTCTGAATTCTGCAAGTCTCAGCAGAAGAAATGATGGCTTGTCACTGCCCAGCCTTCAGCCAGCCCACAGGAGGAAACCCAGGAGTAACACCACACAGACTAAAGGATACCCAAATAAAATCTGCCCATCAGGATCAGCAGCTCCCCAGGAAACCTGCCCACATTACCCCAGATGATCAGCTAGAATCAAACAACCCACACATCCCAGCCCAGAGCTAAGATCCAGGGTAGAAACAGGAAAAGAGATGGAAGGAACATCTTGCATGTGAAGATTTGGGGAAAAAAAAAAAACCAAACCACTCACAAACAAACAAAAAACCTGTTTTGTTTTGTTTTCAGAAATTATTTCTGCAGAAATGAGGCAGTCAAGTGTTATTGTCTCCATGCTGCTGAGGAGGAGGACAGCTGCAGATTTTCAAAAGGGGCCCTGAGCCCATGTCACCCTTCAGGCTTCAGCTTTTCTGGCAAAAGAGGCAGAAAGGGGAATTCTGTTTGTTCTCTCAGACCACATTCTAGTTTACAGCCAACCTATATACCAGCCATATCTAATTTAGCCAAGTTTTTCTCTAGGAACCTATAACCACAGATAGTTACTGATAGAGAAACAACTTCTCCAAAGTAAAGCATGCCCAAAGGTACCTGGTGCTTGGGGAAATGACTTAGCTGCATGGAGAAATTCAGACTGAATGCTGGGCTTTCTCCTGGTACAACTCCAGCAGATATGATTTATCATCCCATCTCTGAAGAAAAATCCCTGCACTGTGGATGACATCTGTCCTTCATGTGTGTCTGACCTGCAAGCACAGCAGCTTTCTCCTGCACAGACAGCCTCTTCCAGCTCAACCAAGCCCCACTCTCTTCCAAAAGCTTCAAAATTTAATCCTTATTGTTGCCTAGAGACAACCAGTCTGAGCAAACAACCCAGTCCTTGTCTGAACTCAGCAGAAGTTGGGCAACAAAGAATGACCTACCTGTTTTACCTTCTCTGCCTAAATGTGCAATCACCTCCTTGACCTTCTGATACAATCATGCAGCAAGTGATACACAAGTGAATGAAGGAGATTCATGGGTAACAGTCATAAAATAAAAACACAGGCATTTTCTTAGTGAGCTACAATTGTAATTCAGCTTCCCCTGTGCAGCTGTATCTCTCTAGTGAGGCTGGTTTACAGCTGGGAAAGCAGAACCTGCTGCTTCTACTGGAGTGATAAAACCTAATGCAAGCAATGCCCTAGTACAGCTCCCCAGCAATTCATTTCCTCAGTGTTTAAAACTAAACCACAACATGCTTTTTTTGTTCAGGCTGTTGTGTTTGCCTCACTCTGCTTCTCTCTGGAAGAACTGCACCTTTACACATTGCTGCATTCTCATTTGAAAGACCACAAGAGGGTTAATCTCATTTAAACAGAATAAATTTCTCAAGGTAGAAGTTCCTGTACTGCAGCCAGGGGAAATCTGATGGCAAAATAAAATTCATTTTGGATTTTGACCATGAGAAGTAGAAGAATGTTAGGAAAAGATTAATTTGAATTAATCCGTGCCTTTATATTTGAATTAATTATCAGTTTAATGTAGTGAGGCTTGCAGGAAAAACAAGCCATATGCACCATGGCAGCTGAGCACAAGACATTTATACCCAAAATGTTTGGTTTCAAAAGTAAACAGGAGCTAAGGAAGCAACACAGGAGAAAGGCTAAGAATAAAACCCAGCCATGGTTTCCAGGCTCTCAGTTCTCTAAGTGCCTGCCCTATACAGCCTAAGTTGCCCCTGTCCTTGTCCCAGATATTGATGAACAAGAGGAAACTGAAATGAAGCAACAGAGCTCCTGCTTCATGTGTCCCTTCTCCATATGCTGAAGACAGCCCCTTGAGAAAGCCACCCACCCTGCCTGGAGGCAGAGGGAAGAGTGTCAGGACTGCTGGCTGATGGAGGCACCACAAAAGGTGCAGGTTCCAGCCCTGCAGGTGGGGGTGGTTGCAGACAGCTCTTCTCTCTGCTGGCTGGCTGTTTGCTCACAGCTTTTCCAAAGGTTTTCCAGGGGAACCTTCCACTTCAGTCACCATCTTCCCTGCTCATCCCCATCTCTCCTTTCCCCCTTTATTTGCTTCCCTTAATGTGTTCCTCTCATACCACCACCATGGTGGGATAGAAGGGAAGTTCTTGGGATAAGTCCCTTGTATGTGGAGTGCTCAGCCACTTGTCCAGCTGTTGCAGCTGCTTGAATGTGCAAAGGGAGCAGCAGCAGCAGCACTGCTTGGGAAAAGAAAGTTTACTAGCAGGCTTCAGAATCAAATTAAATCCTATTTGCATTTGTCCACTGCTGCTATGACAAAGGCACCAAAATGAGAACTGGAAAGTGGAAGCCTTTTAAAAATGACACTCCAAACAAGCTGTAATATTTCTTCTTTTCCTTTCCTGCTCCTTCCCTAGCATAGCTATGGTATGATCCCTCTTGGAGCAGGAACCTCATGAACTCAGCTGTAAGAACACACTTCTACAACCAAAATAAGTATTTCAGAACTAAGCCTTCAATACTCACCCAAAGTGTTTGTTGCAAAGTTTTTTTCTAGTCCATCTTCAGTTAGTTCTCTATTATTCACCATACATCCTGCATTGTTGATCTGCAAGAGGACAACTGTAAACAAAGCTAACCTACCCAAATATCTACCAACAAACCCACAAACACCAGCAGCTCACTAAGAGCCAACAGTCCTAGTGCCTTACTCCACATGTTTAAACTCTCTTCTCACAGAAAGTAACATGTGAGCTGTAGAGGAGATATCAGAACATGAACATGTAGTGTGGTTTGTGTCATCTGGGAGACCACACTGACCCCAAATCACCCATGGTGTGTGGTGAGGTAGTCTCCACTAAGGGGAAATCCACTATGGGAAGCTATGCAACGTGCAGTAGAATGGCCCACAGGAACTTCCAACCTCAGCAAATTAGAAGAATTAGCTCTAAAGTTGACAGATTAGCCAGGTCAGCAGGTTGCTGCATCCTAGTTAGCCCTAAGAAGAGCAGAGGTAACCAGCAGAGGTGCTAAACCCCACCTGGAGTACTGCATCCAGCTCTGCTGGCCCCAACACAAGGACATGGACCTGTGGGAGCTGGTCTAGAGAAGGGTCATGAGGATAATCAGAGGGCTGGAGCACTTCTCCTACCAGGACAGGCTGAGGGAGTTTGGGTTGTTCAGCCTGGAGAAGAGAAGGCTCCAGGGAGACCTTATTGCAATGTTCCTGTACCTGACAGGGGCCTAAAAAAAGGCTTGGAAGGGACTTTTTACAAGGGCTTGTAGTGATACAAGTAGGGGCAATGGCTTTAAACTGGAAGATAGATTTAAATTAGAAATCAGGAAGAAGTTCTTCACCATGAGGGTGGTGAGACACTGGCCCAGGTTGCCCAGGGAAGCTGTGGATGCTCCATCACTGGAGCTGTTCATGACCAGGCTGGATGGGCCTTTGAGCAACCTGGTCTAGAGGGAGCCATCCCTGCCCATGACAGGGGGGCTGGAACTAGGTCATCTTTAAGGCCTCTTCCAACCCAAACCATTTCTATCAGAATTTCCTTATCTAGTAAACACCAAAACAACTGCTCCAGGTGCCTCAGTTTTAGTGCAGCCCCTCCAGGCAGATTTTCACTGCTAAATAAAGGGGAAAGTGTGCTGAGCCCCTTACCAGCCACAATGCTTCACTGTTTGCTCTCTCCCTGGCTCTGTTTTACACTGCTCTGATGAGACTTTCTAAAAGTTTCATCTTGAAGAAGGACCAGCTTTAAGAGAGACAAAGTTGTTAGAAATGGAAGTCAAACAGAAAATGTGTGGTAAGGACCTCAGAAGACACAGCTAAAAAATTCTGGTTGTCTCTTTTTTGCAGTGTATCTCTGCATGTGAACTGAGAATGGACAAGAGCAAATAGATCATGAAAACTACTGCAGAAACATGTAGAGAGAAAAATCAAGCAGAGAACTGTGGGCCAAATCATGATTTCTACACTACCTGTTGGACAAGTTCACAGGCTCTGCACTCCAAAGACAGACACATGATTTAAGTATGCAAACTTACCAACACATTTAATTTATGTTCATTTTTGAATTTTTCAGCAAACTTCCAGATTTCCTTGGGGTGAGATATATCCAGAACATGTAAGAAGATATTCTAAAGGGAAAAAAAAAGTAAGCTACAATCAACAGGGACAGTGAAGAGCCTTTGGTCACTGTTAAGACCTAAGAGAAGAGGTATTTAAGCAGTGTGAAAAAAGCCAATGTCCAGAACACAACTGAAACACTGAGGTTAATATGCACAACTGAGAAATCTAATTCAAGTGCTTAAAACATGCCTAGTCCCTTGATTCAGTTACTTCTGAACCATAGATTTTTAATTCCAAATTCATTAGAAGAGAGCCCTACTCAGATAAATGTATGTGACAGACAGTCAGGCAAAGCAGAGAACTAGAATAAAAAACAATGCAAAGCTTGCAAAACTTCTGGTTAAATAACTCAAACAGCAGCTTCCTCTTCAGCTGAAAGCAACTTTCCAAAGCAATGCTCAAGGTCACAGGATTAGAGAATAATCTAGGTTGGAAGGGGCCCCTGGACCCTGCTTGTCCCCAAGAAGCTAACTGAGATCAGGTCAATCAAGAAAGTTTTATTTCCTCTCCTTACACGTGTCCCACCTCCCCAGCCACTTTTGCAGCCCTCCACCAGACTTGCTCCAGGACATCAACGACCTCCTTGACCTGGGGAGCCCACAATTGGGCACAGGACTCCTGCTGTGGCCTCACAAAGGCTTCAGAAAGAGGAAGAGGCACTTCTCCCAGCCTGCTGGCTACACTGGCACTAGTCCATGTCCAGACAAGCCTCAGCAGACTCTCCACAACACCCTAGATCTGAGTTCTCAGCAAGTGAGAAACCTCTGCAGGCATCCAGCCAAGCCTGCAGATGGGTGTCTGTCCCCCCAGGAGGGAGCCTCCAGCCATGAGCACCCACCACTTCCTCCCAAGGCTGACAAGGGTTCAGGCTCCTCTGTCTCCAACACCTCCCCTGCCAGAGCTGGTTCTCCCTCATCTGTTACCAGGGCACCACACCTCTCCCACAGATGCCCCTCTGTGGGCAGAGAGGAGCCTGCCTTCTGCTGCCAGCACCCCAGGCTTGCATTCCTCCCCATCTGAGGAGTCTCTCCAGCACTTATCTGAGCAGAGCTTCCAGCTGCCCCTCCTTCCACGCACATCATGTGAGGTTTGTGCTCTTCTCCTCCCTGCACAGACCCTGTCACCTCCTGCTTCTGTTCCCTGTGGTTCTGCAGCCTGCTCAGCCCCTGCCACCACTTCACCTGGCAGCCCAGCACTCTGACCCCAGCAGAGCCCCACAGATGAGGCCTCCACCATGCTCTGCCCCAGGGAAAAGCACCAGCCAGTCCCCAAAAACCAACATCTGCCAGGTCCTCTGGAGCTCTGCCTGGGCCAGCAGCCCACGTGGCAGCTGCAGTCACCCCAGCCAGGGCAGAGCATGCTCCATGTGCATCTCCCCACCTACCCCACCTGTCTCAGGGGGGGAGGTGCCTCCTGCACCCCCTTCCATGAACTGCTAAGTCCTCCTTAGATCCCTCCTGTCACAAGTCCTCCAACCTTTTGAAACACTATGGCCAGGAACGTGCATGCAGTAGAATAAAAACTTTTAAGAAAAAGCCTCACATAGAGCAAAGTTATAATTTCCTACACCACTAAAACTGGAAACATTTCCTCCCTCCAAAACATCAAAAAGCTTTTACTGCTTCTTACAGGCAATTCTCTTGCCTTTTTTTGTTTTTGCAGATTTGTGTTCTACCTGGTGCAAGCACCCTGGCATTTCTCAGCACACAGAAGGTGGGACAACTCCTACTCTTCTCCCAGGCAGCACTTAGTCTCACAGACACACCACAGAGAGAGTCTTAAAAGGCAGTTTCAAAATAATTATGCAGAGGATGTGTTCTCATACAAAACAACAAATAATCATTAGCAGGTGTCCTCTCTTTCCAAGTTGTGTTTTTAAATACTTGTTATACAAGCAAATGAGAAGTGAAAAAGCTGAGAAAAGTATAAGGCATTATTCCCTGCCTGTAATTCTGCTTCTCTGAAGACAAAACCCACATGATTTTCTCTCTAGCTATTGCATTTCAGCTCCTTAGTTAAGTCAGAATTTCCTCATCTTAATATTAAAGTCTGACCAAACACTTGACACTGCTCTCCTGTTTCTAACTGGACACCTCTCCAAAACCATTCTACTTTTAAAGCTACTACCATTAGCTAAGGGCACAGAAGAGCTGAAGTTTTTTGGGCTGATGTTCAATAATACAAATAATTTCAGGGAGTGAAGATGATCCAAACCAACTTAGCTGCTGAAGACTGTCACACTGGCTCAGAAAAAGGACCCAGAGGCCTGTTCCCTGTGGAATTCCTCAATGGCAGCAAAGCCACTTTCAAAGTGAGGCCTCATCTCTGTGACTAGATCTACTTGAACAGATTAGGAGAAATTTCTAGTACCCAGGTCTGGAGGTGCCTCTCAAATAACTCCATTTCAGTACCAAATTCTGGTATGTCTTGCTGTGGAAGATGAAAAAAAAACAATCTTTGGCATCTACTACAACAGGATCTCCATCCAGATGACCAGGAAGAACAAACTAAGTCTGGTTACAGCTTGTCAAGTTGCAGATAAAGCACTTTACTATCCCCCCTGGATTGCTTCTGAATGAGTACTTATAAAGAAGGATGTTCTTGTGGTCTCCTTATTAAAATGACTCTTCCCAGTGCAGTTCCATGTCCCACAGGGCCTCTTGTAGAGCTTGTCTGGCACTTCACTGAGTGCTGCTATACAAGTGCCATGTCCCCAGGGTCATGAACAAGTTCTGAAGTGCCCTTTCATGACTAGAGAAACTACAGGTTTGCAGCCTACCAAAAAGAGGGAATGCAGCAACTGTGCTGCTTCTAGAGGAAGAACATTATTTCCTTCAAGCTTTTTTTCCACCAAATGACAGAAAACAGAGCACGAAGGAACATTCAGAGGTCACCAAACTCACCCCTTTCCAGGCTGTCTGCAGTTAGAAAAGGAGGTAACACAGATAATCACCAGTCTTACTACAGCCATGGGATTACACAGTTATAGACAGCTGGAAAGTATTTATTTCTACAGAAGGACTGATCTAATTCACCTCCCTTAAAGAACTGAAGTGTAATGCTGGTTGTGTCACACCAGGGAGCTGAAACCATAGAGCAGAAATTTAGTCAATATGGTATCTCTAACCATAAAGAGTCTTCAAAACTTCTGATCCACATTAAAAACTACTACTGGAATTGAAATACTGTGTTCAAGAGCCAAGTCACTCTTTAAAATGAAGCTAGCTCTCCATCCAAGTGTTGTGGGTTAAACCCCAGTAGGCAGTTAAGCTCCACACACCACTGGCTCACTCCCCTCCCAGGGGGATGGGGGAGAAAACCAGAAGAGTAAACCAGACAAAACTTGTGGGTTGAGTTTAATCAGTGAAGCAGAACTGTGCAGGCAAGCAAAGCAAAACAAGGAATTCACTCACTGCCTCCCATGGTCAGGCAAGTGTTTAGCAGCCCCCAGGAAAGCTTCAGCACATCCAGCAGTGACTTGGAAAGCCAGACACCCCAACTGCAAGTGTCCCCTCTTCCTCCTCCTCTCCCCAGCTTTTATTGAGGAGCATGACATCATGTGGTGCAGGATATCCCTTTGGTCAGCTGTCCTGGCCATCTCCCCTCCCAAATTCTTGTGCTCCCCAAGCCTGCTGGCTGGTGGGACAGCATGAGAACCAGAGGAGGCCTTGATGCTGTGTGGGGACTGTTCAGCAACAACTAAACCACGGGTTGTCAACACTGTTTTGGTCCCAAATCCAAAACATTGCACCACAGGAGCTGCTGTGAAGAAAATTAACTCTGCCCCAGCCAAAACCAGCACACCAAGAGAGAGACAATTACTGCCTTTTTTTTATAAGCACACCCCCCTGAATAATTAGCCAAAGCAAGAGTGACAGCTACAGAGGTGTACTGCAGAGACATACATATTCCTCCTGCCTCTGCATGGAACAGAGAGGAGGTAAGGAAGGGATACTGCAAGGAGATGTGAAACTATGCAGAGGGACCTG